AACTTTTGACAGAAACATTTCTTATAATGAGACCGTGTGCAGCGCACAGGTCTGGGCTTCCTGAGTTCAAACTTGACCGGGGATTAATTGATATATATATATATGAATTGAATATTGTATTATAATCAAAGTTTGTTTAACGCTTCATTATTTAATATTTTGAAAGATTATATGCCGGAGAAATGGATTTTTTTCTTGGCGCATCAGGGATACTTTTTCTACAAAGGGAACACTTTGTGTTATGTTAACAAATTATATTCAAAATAAATGATATAGATTAAAAGTAGTATCAAAATAAAAGTTTCATGTAATAATTTCTTCGGTTAATGTTTTGGTAAGTATATGGAAATATTTCATGTGCAACAAAGATTTTTCCAAAGCAGGCATGAAAAATATAATCCAACAATTTTAAGTCCCAGATTTGCATAAGAATTGTTTATATCATTTGATTGGAATAACAGTATATGAAGCTGCATGTCTCTAACCACACTATTTAAAGAAACTCAAACTTGAGAACAATTTGTTTGATTTTTGCTAAAAAAAATTCCGTTTCGTAATTTAGTCATACTGGTTCAAAAGTGAAAGGAGCAGCAAAATTTCAGTACACGGTTCACTCGCTCATATAATAATGCACGGGAATATTGTTGTTATGATGTTCACTGTAACGGTTAATATTTTGCAGAACATGAAATAGTATAACGCTATTCAGAAAACAATTATCGGTTTATACGTTTTAAAACGGAATGAACCATGCGAGTAGTGTTAAATTACGTAAATGATGTTTTTCGATTTTTCTTTGTACCGATTTGTTCACTTCCATATAAATGTTTCGTATTTTGAAGCGGAGCATGCGCATAACATTTTTGTAAACTGCTCCTAGTGGTTATACGCTTTAAATGAGAATCATTCACTAGAATCAGATACGCAAAAATGGATGCCGCCTGCAATCAGTCTGAACACAGTTTGGTGGGTCTGCTGACCTCTCCAATGATGATAAAACAATATTGAGACCGACATGTGTTGAACTGATCTTATAAGTTTAACTAAGGGAAACAATAAAAGATTTATATGGTATATCTAGTTTCTTGTATTCGGCCTTTTCAATTTGGTTGGTTCCAAGTATTCCTACTTGAATACTGTATAATCACCCTTAAGATATGTTGCCTGCTTTTTTAAATTTCTCATTTGACGTTTTATCTGTGATATGCAGGCTTCATAACCTCAGATCCACTTTAAAAATTCCATTTTATTTAGTTCCTCTCATTGTTTTCTCGTTTAGGGCACACGCTTTCTTTTAGTTGGGGACCATACGCCGCTTTTCATGGAATGACACTACTGTGTCATATTGAAGGTTCCATGATAACCGCCGTATGAACACATCTGCGGATGTTTCTAAATTCAAAATTTTCACCATTTTAGTGTTTAATTGTTGAATGCTGCTTAAGCCGGTGCTAGGGGGCATGGACGGTAACTTGCACTTTCCAGTACCGTCCATGAACAGGCTCAATCAAACCAAGCCTGCAACATTTTACAATTTTGCCGTGTTGGGCTTTCTTTAGGGATTCTGTTTTTCACTTTTTCATTGTCACATCAGTGTTATTTGTGCCGTGTGGTGGCTGAAAACTTCTCCCCGAACATTTAATCAATGATGTTATATTTTCGATCCTCGAAGATCGTTCGGCACGACATTATTGTTGTGTATACATTTTATATGGTATTTTTAGTTTCTTGTATTTGGCCTTTTCAATCTTGGTGGTTCCAGTATTCCTTATGGAATACTGTATAATCACCCTTAGGATATGTTGGTTTATACAAATTTATTTTAGTTCGATTGTGTTGAAAGCTATAAGCTTATTGAAACACTCTCGAATCCGTTCCTGGAACCAACCAGTACTAAGCAATGAATGTAAAGTTTCTTGCTCAAGGAAACAACGGCTTGCCCCTGACAGGGTTTGAACCCACGCGGTCAGCAATCCTTAGATTACTAGTCCAACGCGTTAACTGACTAGTTATTGACTAGGATATGTTGCCTGCTTTTGAAATATTTCTTTTGATGTCTTATATGTGATATGCAGGCTTCATAACCTCCGATCTCCTTTCAAAATTCCATTTTATTTCGTTCCGCTCATTGTTTTCTCGTTTAGGGCACACGCTTTCTTTTACTTTGGGACCATACGCCGCTATTCATGGAATGACACTACTGTGTCACATTGAAGGTTCCATGATAACCGCCGTATGAACACATTTGCGGATGTTTCTAAATTCAAAATTTCACCATTTTAGTGTTTAAATGTTGAATGCTGCTTAAGCTGGTGCTAGGGGGCGTGGACGGTAACTTGCACTTTCCAGTACCGCCCATGAACAGGCTCAATCAAACCGAGCCTGCAACATTTTACAATTTTGCCGTGTTGGGGTTTCTTTAGGAATTCTGTTTTTCACTATTTCAATAACATCAGGTTTAAAATCAATTAAGATCTTTTTTCAAAATTAACAGTTCGATTTTTTTTTAATAAAACAACATACGGTGTGATTCACAAAAATGTCGCATATGTATTATCTTATTTACTTGTTTAAAGTTAAACTCTGTCAGAACATAGTTCGGACAAAACATCTTATTATCAAAAGTCTTATTGACATAGCCAAGTATGTTTTCGAAAATTAACAGTTTAAAGATAATATTTATTGACTTGATCTTTCATTAGTAGCTTGTCTATCTATATTTTTGGGATCAATTGAATAATTAAAGTCCTACAGAAATATTCAAAATGCATGTATATTATTATCAAATGCCCGAAAAATATATTCTGATAGCAATAAATGATTTCGTACTTATATATATATATATATATATATATATATATTTATATGACATATTAAGAAAACAAATATCCGAGACAATTGTACCATGCTATAATCATCCTCAAATTTGATAAACACTGTCATTGTATATTTTCAGTTTCTGCCTAAGAGTTTACCATATCAAAGGACAAGGTTTTGAGAGGCAGTATAGGAATGTTGACAATAAAATGTTATATAACACAGACAGATATTGACATTGTTTTCAGTAATAAAACCCAAAAATGTTTCAGAAAAAAATCTCTATAATTGGAAAAGACTAACTGAAATGCAATAAGGACCGACCGTGAGACCTATCTTGAGTCCAGATGCTAAAGCAAGTGCCAAAGATAATGTTGCTAAAGGATCATGGAGTTCGATAACACGTGTTAGCAAATATCTTGCACTGCCAATGAACATAACAAAGTTAGCTGCCTTACAAATGCAGATTAATTCATAAGAGTTTTACAACAGCAACGATAGTGTCTGTGGAAAATATAGACAATTTTACGGTTTATGATTAGTAAATTTACATTCTTGTAAAAGCTTGGTTCATTACGACATGAAGATCTTTGACTTTATATTTGTTTCATCTCAAACTATAAGTCATTTTCATACATAATCCATCCTTCAAAAATTTTGGTGACGTTGTCAGCAAAGTGCATGATATACCTTTTCAAACACAGTAGTTGGAATATTATATCACATACATTTATATTGAAAGAAATGCTTATCGAATAGTAAACAATATTTCATCCCTCTTAACCATGGAGACACACATTTAAGTGAGTGAAAAATCAGACTCGGTATGAATGAGGGAAGTAATAAGTTGCACACTAATCATCCACATCTCCTAAAACAGGCTTTATCAAAACATAAATGTTGTCGTGTATTTCTTCTTTTTTAATCAATGAACCCACAGGGCGAGATAGCTGTAAGAAGATTGTGCAATATGATTAACCTGCTCATGTAAGATCACTCCGTATTGAGTTTTAAAAACTGTGAATAAATTTATTAATGCTTACAATCTTTTTCTTAATCTTATTTTATTGTATTAATATATTTCTTAAACATGTTTAAGATAAAACAAAGAAAACTATAAGCAATATTTTGTGTTGTATGAAAAGGAGAGTACTGCATTATTGTCAATTAAAATTTTGTACTACATTTTGAAGTTAAACCTCAAATAACGTCTTTAACAGCAAGAAAGAATCGTGTACTTGTACAAGGATCGTCATCTACAAAAACTATAATAACGGTAAATCCTTTCACCTAACTTTATTTTGCAAATACTCAGTCTTTTACTTCGTTTCCTGTTTCCTTCATGTCTGTACCTTTTCATTTTGCCTGCTTTATTTCTGATTGGTCGGGCCAGAGCACGTGAGACCTGTCGCTGTTTGGGAACACTTTTTACCAGATATTGATATACATGTAAGTGTATCATTAATAATATAATAATAAAGTTATATTAATAAATGTAACCTGATTCTATTCAATTATTTTTCCTTCCTAACTGATATATAAATTTGATGCAGTTGAATAACGTTGTGATATATAAATAATAGTAATGTTGCCTTATAATTTACGTTTTTATCTTTATTTTAATAAAAAGGAGGTTGCCAGAATTTTTATGACAAGCTATTTTCAGCTTACGGATAATTTCGTCAACACCTGCTTTTCCTATAGTAATAGTTACCGTAAGAGAAATAGGTCTGTATAGTATTGTTTAGACCAGAGTTGCTTTTTGAACAAAATGTACATGCTGTAAATCAGCTTTTTAAAATACTATATGTAAATGTCAATAGATTTAAAGTCCTATAAAATCTGACAACTTTACCCTCAAAGATGTTTAAACTCGCAATTACATATGTTTTAATCTGAAGAATTCTTTGAACAAACGATTAAAATACTTATCTAGCTGAATGTTCTGGAACATTCAATTCCATCGGGTAATCAAACACGATTTTAATACATTTGCCGAAATACAGATTTTAAGCATGAAAATTATATTTATTATTTTATTATCGTAGATTGGTTGTCATGCACCTTGATGCCTATTTATTGACAACTGAACAAATATGAATAACTTAATCAGTTGATATGTACATGTTTTATGATAACATTTAAATGAATGATACTTTGATATCATAATATTTTGAGCATTATGTACATGAAAAGGTATAGTTTGATAATTGGTTTCATAACAACATGAAGAGGAAGTTTTAGATATAATAAAACTATGTCATATTTAAATTTTAAATTGCTCTTTTTCTTTATTGTATTCACAGCAAATGAAGGTAAGTTGTTACACTCTTTTGTTTTAAATATTTATTTTATTTTTTAAATTTCATTTTCATTCTTTACTAAAAATGGCGACATTTGATTTTATAGATATTTGACATCATTGGATATTAATACCCGCTATTGTACGGAATGCCGTAAAGCAACGTAATGTCCCGAATTTTGCCGAAGTTCATTAGAATTCATAACACATCCTTAATAATGCTTATTTCAATTGTAAATATTAAAATTTGTAATATATCATTCATTAAAAGTCCTTGTGGGAAAGATACACGTTAACAAATTAATCAGCTGGAAAACGTAAATCATTAAGTTGTTCATTAAATTAAATTTACTTTATTAGTAAAATGGTTCATAATAGAAGGTCTGCAGTATTATAAATAATTACTTGGAAAGTATTTTCTTTCATTCGTGGCAAGAAAACCACGAAAGAAATCTGTGGATGGTGTAAATAGTGTAAGATACCTGATACAATACGAAAAATTCTTATATCGCCTAGAACAAAATATTATTATCCATCTTATAATTATTCATACTAAATGACTTAAAACTTATTCAACATTGGCTTTTCTTTTCTTTCTTTCAATAAATATTTCATGAGATTATCCAACTGATTCATTTCTTATATTTTTGTCAATATTCTATTTACTTTTTGAAAACTGTGCCCATCGTAGACCAATCTATTTCATCATCCGCAAATTACAGTGTTATACAATATTTAATTTAAATAGTTTGAAGTATGACATAATTAACGTTTGTAGCCAATTATTCCATTGTTTTATTAGCAAAATATATAAATTCAAAATTATTTTTCAGATGCATTCCTGGCGCAAACTGATTCCGATGATAAAGGTAAATTGTACAAATGATTATCCAACACTGCAGTGTCCTATTTTAGTACATATATGTGTATGTATTGCGGCAATTGTAATGTGACACATTTGGTCAATTTGTTATAATTTAAAGTATCGAAAGTGTTCAATTAGACAACTGATTATTCTTAACATTCTGTTTTGTAATTCATTCATTTTGAACAGGCCATGTAATGAATTTCAATTTCAAAATGTTAAATCTCTGTTTTGGAGAAATTAATAATCACAATTGGGCAGTGATTGAAGAAGACAATTTTGATACAGAACTTAAGTAAGCTAGTATGATAGGTATCCAAGCCCATGTCCGGATTCGAAGGGCAAGTGATACTAAGTAAACCACCATAAATATAGAGACTTAAAATATACATGTATATATGATTCGATGTCAAGATTCTGTTTATTAATACACTTTTCAAATCAGGTCTAAAAAATTAAGTGTCACGCAACCTTTGTATAACCTGAAAGTTTGAGAATCAAAACCTGAACATGACTTTGTAAGAAAGTAGCTTAAACCCCAGTCACACTAGAGCTTAAGATTACTTGCGACCACCGGCGACTTGTTAAACTGACGATCATCAGCGATTGATTGCGACCAAAACCATTTTTGCACGCATAAATTTACTTCTGCGACTATCGTAAGACCAGTCATCATTGACAATCGCACGACAGGTCATAAGCAAACGTACGATGGTCTCAAGATTGTGTGGGATTACTTACGACTACCCGTGACCTGTCATGCGATCACGTACAACTTGTCGTACGACCATCACACGATTACTAAAGACTACTCAAGATTGTCAGTGGCTAGTGGCAATTTGAAAAGACTGTCGTAAGATTGTCGCACTTCTGAACGACCATCGTGCGACAGCCTAAGACCTTATAAGATCACTAGCGACCTGTTTGATCGCAAGGAGGTTTTTGTGCAAGCTCAAAAACCTCTCTACGACTGAAATTGGTCGTGGGACCTAAATAAGATAGCCTGCGACTGTCAAAGATCACCGATGACCGTCGTAAGACGTTTTAAAGATTGTCCGCGACCAGAGGTCACTGGTGATCGTGAACTGGTCTTCACTGGTCGTAAGCTCTAATGTGACTGGGGCTTTAACTTCCTCTAATTATAAGTCATGCATTAACCACAAACCTGCTGAATGCGAGTGAATGTTTTGGCTAGCTTTGTAAATGTAACAGAATATCAAGGATTTCAATGTAAAATAAAAACAAATGACCAACCAACAATAACGGGTCTGATCAGTGTGCGCAGATAAACATGTTGATCTAGCTATAATACTGGTTTACTGTCGACTCTAGCAAGATAAGGTTTAAAAAGGACAAAATCTTATCTAATTCAACTTACTTAGACTTTTGATATACACAGAAATACCATTAAAAGTGTTATTAAAACAATAGAACACATAAAATATGTAATACTATTACGTCTGTTTACAACATAATGCATACATTATTTTGAACAGAGATTATTCAATCATTTCAGGATATGGCGATTTAGGGCTACCAATTATTATTTTGGACGGCACTGCTGTGTTAGGGCTAGGTTTTCTAATTGGTGTTTGCTGTGCTTGTGTACTTTTACGCAAAAAAGAAAAGATAAAAGGTATCATTATATTTGTTTATGATTGTTTGAAATTAATGGACTAAACTCAATTCTGTGTTGATACTTTCAATGTTTTGTGTAGACCAATATAGGAACGGTTAATTGTCAGTCTAATGACAATTAATATTTGTATCGATAATTGATTATTTATCAAAGGGGAGCGGTGGCCTAGTGGTTAAGGTGTCTGCCTCTCAACCCAGAGATCATGGGTTCGAGCCCTACTCGGGTCACGACCATGTTTCTTCATACGACATCAGTACTGGTTGGTTCTAGGAAGCGGACTTCATATTGATTAATATAAGTTGCAAGAACTTGTTTCGCAATTGAGCTTAAATAAATATGTTTAAACCAATTATTTTTTTTATTTTTGCGTTTTGAAACGTATACGCAAAATGTTCATAACAATAAAAATTCACAATGAATTTAGTATCCAAGGAAAACAATGCTTAAATAGCATTTTATTAAACTTGTTCATTTTTCTTGTTTATATCTACAGTACTACGTTATAGGACGCAAATACAATGCAATACATTAGGAATGTAGTAGTTAACATTATCATCAGAGAAAAACTACACAAACTATATAATTGTAAATTTGGCGCATTTATTGTCTATGCTTTTATCAAGATATTGAAATGTTGCAATAGTAAAGTAATCATCTAAACATTTTTCTCCATCGAAAATTACTTAAAATTACCTTAATTTCATTACTTGAAATAAAATACATGAGTTTTTGGTCTAAAAACTTAATAATATACTATACTATAAATTTGATATTTCAACATATTGATACACAGCCTGTACCATATGTAACTGTATAATAAATAAAAAGTACACTCAATACTATTTCCATGAGTATAGTTTCAAGTTAGCATTGTCTAAAATTGATTTAATTTGCTATTAGGCAGAATACTTCCGATGAAGGAAGATCAACAAAGGCCAACACAGTCTGTAGAAACTGTTTCCTTTGCTTTAAGTCCTTCAGTGTAAGTTATTCTAATTGTTTGTTCTTGCACAATTTATTTATAGAGCCATATTTCTGCCAACAAATAAGCAAGCATTAATTAATAACAACATTAATTATCTGAAACATTAGTTAGTGTTCGTGTTTATACATTAACTAAAATACTTATCTGGTTAACAAGATATATTTTCTATTATAAAAGTTATGTTATCTATTTCTCAAAAACTGTTAACACTGATCTTACCATTGTCTGATACATTAAGTGGTTATCAAATGTTTTGTTTTTTATTACAATAGATAATTCATGTTTTAATCTATTTGATATTCATGCCAGTTTATAAGTGATAACTCTTTCTATAAATAGTGAAAATGTTCAGTTACTTTAGAAGTGTGATGGAATACTTCGGATACCTTCCTTTCACATACCTTGCAAGACTAAGTTATCTTAAAATCCTGAAATATCTTTTACCAGATTTAGTTTACTAAAACAGTCCAAAACGTATTACTTATTTACATACTAACCAATACGAAGTAGGATAAACATGTTTATCTGATATTTATCGGGTAACACAATTTTTTTATGTATAACCACTCAATATGTCAGATAAAAGAATTTAAAATTATCTTGTGCAAATAAAAATTATTTATTATGTATCAAATAAATGACTGACTAACATAAATATTTTACAGATAAACATATAATTTATTTATTTGTTATATTTTAATCAATTGGAAAGTGTAAGCAGGTCTAGACATTTTTCTGTGTTTTTGTTTTATAGGTACTTGTTTGTCATTTAACTTTTAAACAACATTATATCTTCCAGATCTTTTATCAGAAAATTCCATGTATTGAAATCTTATTAACACAAAAATTATCTAGGTAGCAGTTAATTGACGTGGTATTGAAATGTGTAACTGTTTAATTATTGGCAGAAATTTGCCTTATAAATGTAGTGTTATTTGCATGCGCATTATTAACATTTGGTTAGCTTAAAACGAGAATAAAAAGTTCAAGAGTTTTAGAATATTTTATATTTTACTTTTTCACGTAACAAATAACTTACTTAAACATAAAATAATTTACTATTGAGATATGTAAAGAAGAGTCTCTAGAACTAAATTTAAAGTGAATATTATCGTCGTTTGTAACGTTAGTACAAGTATCAGTCTCACTACTGCTGCCATTTTAGTTTTTTATTTTAATATAATATTTAAAATTATTACTTTAAGGAACAGTAATGTACGAATCCAAACGGGAACGAATGCGGAAAACAGACAGACTAATGATTCTCAAGAAGGTAAGTTATTTCTTACATCGAAGAATGTTTGATCTTGATTATTTTTTGTTACTCGGAAATTTGATGTTTTCGGCAAATTTTAAGAATTTATTTTGAGCACTTTTAGGTTGATGTGTTTGTTTCTGTTTAACAAAATAGGTCCAGTGAAGAAATTTAAGACACAGTTAAAACAGACTAGGGGGACTCGATTGAAAGATTCTACACCTACACCGTATGCTATCCTTTACTGTTTTGTTTGTTCCTTGTTTGCTTTAATATTAATTTTTTAAACATTTTCCTAATCAACTTATCAGAATAAACATCACTAGCTTTTATAACATCTACACAAAATACTCATTGGTAAATTTGAGAAATGTAAGTTTTGTTTTATTTTGATTTGATCCGTACTGCCTCTGTGAAAACATCTTTTTCTCTACGTATTTCTTACGTCTTCATTTTTTTTAATTTCAAGGCATAGTTACGAAGAATTTCAAAACAGAACAGACGCAGAAAACATTTACGATTCTATAGAAGGTATGTTATTTCTCTTATTGTATTCCTCCTTTTGTTTTGCTTAAACTAAGTAAATCAGTGATTTTGAATGATTTTCAACACATCATAAGCAGGGATTTAATATTTTGTTTATAATAAGTTAACGTATTTGCTGCTTTTCAAAATAGGATTAGCAAAGTAAGATGAGTCTGAGACAGGGCAATCAAAAGAGGCGGCACTGCATGATTCGGCTTCTGCACCGTATGTCATCCTTGATTGTTTCTTCATATCCGTGCTCTTTTGTTATTGCTATGAGATGAGCTTTATTATTCGATTATTAATAATAATATCATTAATATTTTGAATTGGCTAGGCAGAAAATATCAATGTTCCAAAATAGATAAGTGTAATTTTGTAATTGATTAAATCCGCTCAAGATACCTTATTATAATTTATCGAAAGTCCATGTACCATCAAAATGAGACATATTGAATTATTCACAAGTTATCAATCTATATTGATTTTAATATAATTCCGTGTTTTATACAAGAAGATCTTGCAAGACACCGATTTATGAACTTAATTAAGTGTTAATATTTTTATTCTTCGAATGTTTGAGTCAGTTGGATTAATGCACTCGTATTTTGTTTTACAGACAAACATACCCATTAAATAACATATTTCAGTCGATTCCAGTGAAGCACAGAACAGGTAATATAATGTTAAACTCTCAAAAATGATGTATTTTAATTTAAAATACTTTCATCAATTAGAATAGTTTTTAGACACTTTACTAATAAAAAAAACTGATGTTTTAAAATGTTTGTATAAACTATACTAAAGTTCAAATCTGGAACATTTAAATTAAGTAAAGAGTATGTTATATAACACATACTTATAGTATATGTTAGAGTCATATTGGTTTCTTACGTAAATAAGAAAGCTTAAAAAGGTATCACTTTGCGAAAGCAACTGTGAACTTTCTGTATGTTACGAAGGACATTCAATATGCACATGGTAACCGCTTAGTGCTCCGCCCACTTGCGTTTTATAATATAAAACGTCCAGTTTATATAAAATCTGTTCTATTAAGATTTGAAACCTGAAAAAATGCAAAATCCTCGTCGGTGATTGGCTTAAAGAAATTTGCGAGCACTAATTGTAGTTGACAGTTATTGCTTTAAATATGATTAATTTGAATGTTGTCAAGGGAAATAGGCTATACAAAAGTACGTTTAGAATAATTTGAAAATAGTAAAAATACCAAATTTACCATTTTAGTATATTTTATTATTTCATATCTCCAAATATTAGTGTATATTATATATATATATAGGTTATTAAAAGTTATTCATTTGCATATTTTCAGCCGATCACATAGTGACAAACTTTGACAGATGATATGTTAATCAACAGCCGATTAAACTTTGAACATGGTGTTCTTTAAATCTCAGTTTCAAGTTCTAACCTAATTACACCGAAGACATTAATAATCTGCTTTGCAGATACTTTTAAGTTTGAAACATTTTGACTTGAGACTGGGAGATAATGAAATTTACAAATAATCAGCACTTTACTGTGACACAGTTCAATAGCATATTCTAATACCACACAATTAGAAATAGCAATGTTTATCATTATAAATTTATACATAAACTTCTTTCAATCCTGGAAAAAAGCAGACTGTTTTACCCTTTCTTAAAGTTATTTATTTGCTTTGATTAATAAAAATTATATTTTAAATGCCAATTATACCCAAAAATTCTTACTTTTAAATTTTTACTTCTCAAAAGCTTCTTTGATGTTCAGATATAGTTTACAAAAATATAATCAGCCATTAACCAGCACCATTATTTGTTTCTGTTGCTTTTTTGCAAGCCGTACATATAAAGTGATTTAGTATTTTGTATTGAAGTCAAAATACGACCTTATTATATTCTGCTTTTTAATGGCAAATAATTTCATATTTAACTTTTTACAGATAGCTAGCATTCAAGTATGTTCTTAAACTATTTGTTATCTAAACGTAGCAAAACTCATGTTTGATCTTTTTGTAAAGGAGAAAAATATTCGCTTCTGAGTCGTTATGTGCCTCATAATGATAAGAATTGCTTAATTGTTAATGTTCAAGTATTCCTGCTTGTAAAAATATATGTAAAAGAAATATAATTTATATAACTTCAATATTGTGTCATATATTTGAGGTATAATCAATAATAGTATAAGTTATATGCACTTAATAACACATGCATATACAAACTGGCTAATTTCATTTGATTTGTCAATTTGTTTGCGACGTTTTTTCAAGAAATAATTTCTTTGAAGCAATGTTAATAGAAATAAGTACATTATGCGAAATGTCACTATTATTATTCTAATTTATTGACAAAAATTTGTTTGCATTATGAAATATGTACTTTGTTTTATCATGTTTATGATAAAAATATTATTGCACTTTGTTATCTATTTCTAACAAACCAATGTAGTATAATATTTGTTCAATAACTGTAAGTAACTTTTGTAAATAACTATAGTAACTGATATTGTTTACCATATGTACATGTATATAGTAAAATATGATGAAATATTGAAATACAAGTTTCCAGGAATTTGGCTACAATCACGATTGTAAATGAAATGCTTTGGATGCTAATTATTAATATCTTCGGAGGCATAACATTATAATATAATGAGTAAACCTTCATATTTCACTATCATCCACTCTTGCTGCTGTACATGGAAATTCTCCCTTTTACTGAATATGCTTGCTCTTCTGCATAATGGTCCAAATATTATTCTCGCATACTCGCTGTCTCTTCAAATAAGAAATTTTGTTTTGAAATTGAATCCCCATACAGACGATCCCTTCCATGTTACAGGAGTGCTACATTCAAAATGTATGTTGACTTATTTATTTATCGCTACTTTCACTAAAATAGTTTGAATTCAATGGCTGCATATTGTTCTTTATAGGAGTCTTCTGACGGGACTGAACATAATTTTCGAGATTAATGCTTTGTTTGATGTTGGTCTAAAACAATAAGTTGTATGCAAAATTTCAGATCATTCCATCACCCTGTTTTCAAGAATTATTATTCTAAATGTAATTAAAGAACCAAAATCGAAAGGTGTTGCATCGCTTTTCATTCAAATACAATATTCAATTTATTCTGGGTATATTTCTTCGTTTAAATGCCCCTGTTGATATATGTAAGACCATCAAATTTTATGTTTTTATGTCACCTCTACGGTGTAGTGGACTACCTCTCCTATACCGCTGAAATAATTTCAATGAATTTTTACAGGATTGATATGTAGCTAAAGTACTTGCGCACATTACACGGGTTTAAGTTATGACAGTTCAGAAAAGGGTGTTTTTGTGTTACCAGCTACTAGTTCGGAATACTCTTTAGAAATTACTTGTGCATTTACATCAAAAGTTAACATGAATGATCAATATTATGTCATGTTGTGAATCTCATCAACATTTTTTGGATTTTACTATTATTGTCAGAGTGATTTCCCTTAAATTATTTTGATTTTTAAAAATTTGTCCGGACGACTCCTCTAATACCACTTATGCAATTTAATGAATTTTACGGGTTTGATCGATAGCTCATGTCCTTGTACACAAAGTACACGGATTTTCTGATAAAAGGATTTTCAGCCGAGTTATGGACCTTGAAAATGTGTTTTGCCCTGTTCATAATTTTGGGTCTCCAGCTACAAAGTAGCAGCAACATGCAATTAGATATCCTGGGGCGACATATGTTATTACTGCAGGCCCTTGTTAGGTTTTAGGACTTCAGTAGAGGTCTTTTTATTTATCTGGAGATAATCATCAAATTCCTCGCCCATCATCAACAAATTCTTCAACTGCATCTTTGTCCACTACGTCGTCTATGTCTAGCTAGTACGTATTATGTCGTCAAGTTCCTGTTTATATGTTCTACTGTACAAAGTTCAAAGTCTACTGAGCCAAATAGACATTCGTCCCACTGAATCTAGTATATTCGATGTTCTTGCCTGTTCAGAAACTTGGCTTGATCTCAGTATCTACAATTCTGATATATGTATATCAGGTATTTATTCTCCGAAAATTATAATTATTATTATTCAAACAAACATCAATCAACAAGGTTTAACAGTTGTTCCAATCATTTGATAGAACCAACAAAATATTCAAGTAAGAATCAAAAAGGATGGGTGACATCCAATAGACACACCTCCCAACAATCAGGATTAATAGCAAGGAGCACAGTAGGAATAAAATAAAACAGAAGAGGACACAAGGGCGGAGCACGGAACGGGCCTCAGCATAAACAATCCAACAAGCTTTTTTGATGATCCGTTTAATTGATATAAATACGAAATCAACACTTTATTTTGAATATTATTGGCAGTTGGAACAAACAACAATACATGCTTCCAATGTGGCCTGATAGGTAATGGTTATGTAAAAGAAGTGATCTTATCAGTGAAATATTTAAAATTCAATTACAGATGAATTTTAAACTAAAACATTACTACTAACGAGTGGCGTATGTCTGTCATGAAAAAATACATATATCTTTATATAATAATGCAAGAAAAAGAGTTTCAATTTTACCGAATTTGTGATCATCAAAAATAGCATTTCGTATAATATGATTCCATATGAAAGCTTACGGAAGTGAATTAATTGCTTTATTTAATTAGTTGATTCGCAAAGTAACGATTATATGTATCATTAATCATACAGTTATTAATTTTTTAGATAGATATATACTGAGACACTTGGCCCTAAAAAATAAAGCTTGTCATGATTCGAAACTGACAAAAATAAAAATGACTCTAATGACCGTCAATTTAAGTTTCCAATTGTTGTCATGCTTTCAATCGAAAATGAAATGCAGGTAATATAAAAAATAATTTGGGTTTTTAACAGATTTCATTTTGTACATTTTAAATTGGGGGTTTTTTATTTTGTATAAGTCTTTTTAAAAGGTTCTTTTAAAATTTTTAAAGCAACTTGCCCTTTTAAAATCCGTTTTTCCCGGGTTGGGGTTTTTCCCTTATTTTCAAATGCGGAAATTTTAAAAAAAAGTTTTGTGATTTCTAAATTTTGTTTTTTGATAATGTCTTTTATTTTATCCTCCATGGTAAATTTGTAAAACAAATTTTTTCAAATTTAAAAGGGTTTTAAACACAAACAAAATTTTATCCAAATTTCAAATTGCAAAAATATTAAAACCCCAAACAAAGAACCAAACACAAATTTCATAAAAACCAAAATAAACCCTTTATTTTCCCCCGGGAAAAAATTTTTCTTTTTTTGAATTAATAGGAATTTAAAATATAATAAAAGTTTTAAAAAAACATATAAAAGGCCCAACAAAGGGGTTTTTTAAAAACTGTTTTGTTTTGTGCCTTTTAATAGTTTTCCAAAGAGTTTATATATTACTTTTTGGGTAATTTTCCTTAACCCAAATTTGCATATTTTTGCTTTTTAGCAAATGGTTAAGGAATATTTTATTAATTTGTTGGGATGGAAGTCAAAATACTACTTTGGGTTTTAAAACTTGTTCATTTTTAAAAAAGGGCAATTTTTTAGTTTGGGACTTTTCTTTTTTCAAAAGGGGGACAAAACGGCACCATTTTTTTACCACCATTTAAAAATTATAAAACTCTTTTGGGCCCCCCCCCTTTTTCTAAAAAAAAGAAAAGAAAAAATTTGTTTCTGAGGGGAAAAATGTGCCCCTTTAAAACATGTGTATTGATGAATATGGGAAATTTATGTTTTCAAATCATTCCACCACACATTTTGACAGTATAATGAATTTCATAGTGACTTTTTCTATGAACATGTGATGTTCATATTACAAAATAGTAAATCCTTCATATGTACAAGATAAAAGTCGGTACTCCATCTCAATTTTTGTCATATTTTCTGAATTTTATTTTTACCATACAGATCTTTATATGTTATGTGTTTATGATTGAACACCGATTATGATGGTCGTAGAAGGTTTGAGAGAGTTGCTCTTTTTAGTATCACTCATGAACTTACTTGATAAAACTGGGTCTGTGATTTACCTATTTTATTCGTATTTTTCTTTTTTGTGTATATAACAATTACAATATAGCCACTGGTTTTATGCAAACGACTATTATAGTATGTCTAAAACAGCAAAAGAGGGACGTGAACGAACTGTCGTCGTTTACCGAAACCTATGGATATAAACGAAAGTATATCAGTACCTTTATTCTAGTTGTTCTTTCTGTTATTTGTTTTGTTTTATATAAAAAATCAGTCCATTTGTAAGGAAATTAACAAAATGAACGAATTTCTTAAATTTATGAATATTTAATCGTTTCTTAGAAATTTGTCGTTTTTTACAATCGCAAATTTGTAAACTTTAAAGCACTATTGAATAAAATAATGAAAATAAACAGCTAAAGTGATTCACATCGGTTAACAGATAGGGAAGGAACTTTAACATTTGTCATCGAAAATGAAACTCAAATTACGTTCTTGATACTATTTATTCTGGAACACGGTCGTGATTTTTCTTTAAGCTGTATGTATGACTTAAGTACTTTTTTAACACACAAAAAATGCGCTATTTGTAGTGCGATTATTTAAGTTCAAATCTACTTTTTTCTTTCAAACAGCTATTTAAGGTACTCTAACCATGAATTTTATAGCGATTTATCATAAAATTATTCATATTTCACCTGACTTAAACAACGCCCAACCACAAAATTACATTCTTTTTTCAACAGAAAACTCGAAATGAGGTCGATGACACCCAATTTGTTTCCGCTTATTTTTTCTGTTTTTCTGTTTATCATTTTCTTAGATCATGCATATTTTGATAACTGCCAAAAGACATTTCTCATTCTGCTAAATAATATTAATATACAACTTTAACATACATCTTGAAGATACAATATATTGTAACAAATATAACTTAATATGTTGGCAACTTGTACAGAACAGAGAAACTACATACTCACTTGACATAAATAATGTCAATGAAATTCTTTGAGGGTTACCAAAAACTGAATTCTTAATTTGAAGAGATATATACTAATGTCTTATAATAAGTACATAAGATATACATAAACAATCATAATCATAATGTCGAAAAAGGCTCAGTTTAAAGGAATTTCTAATGTTCACTATATGTGTATTTATGTGAATTTATGTGAAGATACTTGAATTATATGAATTTACTCAATTTAGTATATCGCACGTTTTTTTCTTCTCTTCCTTGTTGATACTTAATGCATGATATAATTGAAAATAACAGTACTTTCAGTAATTTGATCATTATTCTTCCTTAAACCTGCTGATTTATCATGTTTTCATGTTTTCAAATTGTCTTTATCTCTATAGGGAAATTATAACGGCCCATTTTTATTATATATTATTAATATTTTTGTTCCAATATTGATAATAAGATCACTTGAAATAAAGTTTGGAGTTGTTTAAGAAATTGACTTGCGTTACAATAAATCTCAAGTATTGTTTGTTTACAGAATAAATTTTCCCTACGTGCAGAAAAAAAGTTAAAGAAAAATACAGTGAATTTAGCGATATGTTCAAATGTCAAAACTTGACATGGGATTTTTTAAATATTTTGGCATAATTGCTTTTCTTACAGCAACAGAAGGTACTTCCTTTTATTTTATTTTTACGTGTTTTTATCAACATACATTTTATCGCAAACAGACATTATTATCTTTTTAACAAAATCATATTTCGATGTTCCAAATTAAAATCAGTTGCAAATGTTTTATATATATGTTTGTATAGTTAACTTTAAAATGAAAGAAAAAATGTTAATCGGATATTTTAAACGAAAGGTTATGATATATGCAATTATATTGAACTGCCAAATACATTGTGCTTCTTTTGATTAAGTGGAAACTAGAATTTTAATGATAAATTTGAATTTCTATATTGTAATACGCGGTTCTTGTGGTAAAGCACATTTCTATAATCAATTTATAGCCTAAAGAAAAAACGTATGTCAATATTTTCTATTTTCAGTACCAGTTTTTGGTTTAAATTTCACAATTTCCAAAGATCAAGTTATAATAGGTAGCACAGGAACATTAACTATGTCATGTGAAATCACAGAATTAGATGTTGAAACTATCTACCTGATTCAGATACGAAGGATCAACTCAACAATGCTTTCAGGGACAGATTTCCCTGATTGGGAAACGTTAGCATTCATGGAATTAGTTTCAAATGAAAGTCCTACGTTAAGTGCAAATATCACGGCAAGTACTAAAGATTATTTCGCCGACGGAGCTTGGAATTCTGAAACACCTACTTCGACATACCTTACACTGTCTATGAATACTTCAAAACTTGAATGTCACGATGCCAGAGAATATTTATGTGAATTAGCCTACAAAAGCAAAATTACTTCAGCTGTCAAGAAATTTGAAATGAATGGGATTTTCTCAGCTTATGGTAACTTTCCCTTTGAAAGATATTAACACATTATATATTATTTTAAAGAGTTTTAAATAGATGGTCATCATTCATTCCATCTTAAAGAATTACTTTATTATCATACATCAACACACTACATCTTAGTATGATTTTTTTATATCTACAGTTATATTTAAACATTTGAGCATTTTTATACAATGGCACGTGTATTCTACTAACATTTCTTTTCTCCATTCATGCATGTTCTTATTTACTTTGACAGTAAAACCACGTGTAATATCGTTAGTTGCAAGAAGAAATGGCCTTATTGTACAAGGACCTTCCAACCTATCAGACGTTGTGTCTGTTGCTGTTGGAGATGAATTGGAACTCAATTGTACAGCTAATATTGGAAGCTTGCCAGAAACAATAATTCGTTGGAATATATCATCTGAAACCTCATCAGCTGGTGAATTCGATAAGTATCGATCAACAGCCGGTACATTTGATGACGGAACGGCAATCAGTGACAATCAGTGTGGATATATCCGAACTGGTTCTATAAAGTACAACATAACAACATCTGATGTTCACGAAGCTTACTACTTAGTATTTGAGTGTTTTGTTAGAGTAGATAAAGATCCCTATGGATCATTTGTTACACAAAATAATCCAAGGTTCTACTTTGACGTCAGTAAGTTATTTTACAGTTGTTTTTAAATGAATTATTCAAATTCAAAATTTATAATGGTTTTTATGTAGACCTTTATATGAATGATAATTCAAAATTCATTTTTTGTTTTCAAAAAAATGTGCTTCATGAATGAAAATCAATTCATTCAAACTTTTAAAAGACAAATAATATCTGAATAAGTGTCAAACAGGAAATAATTGAATAACTTAAATTCTTATAACTAGTTTTAGAAGTAATAGAGTGAACATTAAAAACAAATGAAATCAAACAGAATTAAATTGTATCGATCCTAGTATGTATATATTAGATCAATATGTTGTTTTACATTTATTTTACCAGACACAAAAACAACAACACAATCAACAACATCAATGTCAATTGAGACAGACAGGATTACAAAAGGTATATCTTCATTGACTAAATATGAAGAGATATTTATGTTCTTATATTTGGTATAATTAACACTGTGCTATATATATAGCATGTAATTTATAAAATAAAAAACCATACCTGTATTTATTAAAGAATTTACCAATTCGTCTATAGGGACGTCTACAACTTGGGAACATTAAAACAGGTTAGAAAAAAAATGTTTTCAGTTTAGAAACTTAACTTAAAATTGTACATGCCATTATTAACGACATGAAAGTATTGCAGATGTAAATCATTAAGAGTATTATCACAAGTTAAGGATATTATTGTATATAAAGCAAAGCGTATATTTTTTTATCGAAACTTCGATACATAAGAAAAAATTATAACAAATAAAATTAGTAAATTACTGCCTTTTGATTCAATGGAAATGTAATTAAATAAAAATGGGACGTGCATTTTTACAGAGTTAATCGAATTAAAACCGACGTCAAAAATTTTAACATATAAGTCCAAACAGTTAAAAATTTGCTTCAAAAAATTTAGAACAGTATAAATATACGGGGTTTTCATGAAATTTTTTATTAGTATGATAATTTAATATTCCCTTAATTAGAAAAAAAAAACTTTGCGTTTAATAATAATTCACTAAAAACATTTTTTTTGTCATAAACTTTTTTCCCCTATTTTTAGTGACGGAAAACGTTTTAAATTTATAAGGAAAGCCCCGTGGGTACAAACCCTATATTTCCTAAGTAAAAGAGAGAAAAAAAAGAACCCCAAAAAAGCCAAAAGAAAATTTTTAAAAAAGGTTGCAGGCTCGTTTGATTGACCGTTCGGGGAGGGTAATAGACGTGAAGTTCCCGCCCAGCCCCCTAAAACCCGGGCTTAACAGAATTCAACCTTTTAAATAAACTGATAAAATTTTTTTAAATTTTTGAAACATCCACGATGTTAAATCCCTTGGGAAACCCAGTAAACCCGTACCCCCCCCCCCATAAGACACTTAAATGACTAATTTAAATGAAAATATACTTGAATTTCAGGTTTTACTGAAAAAAAATTTTAAACGTGCAAATTAGGTACGTATGGAAGAAATCCCATTGAATAGATTTTAGATTTTTAAAAAAGGTCCCCAAAGGGGGTTTAAATTAATATTTCAACCAGAAAATTAAAATTAAAAACGTTTTTTTAAATCAAAAAATTTTTGCAAAATAAATGTAAAAAAGTTTGACATCTGTTGACCAAATAAATAAACTGTTTTTGTCCCTCAAACACTTATAGACAACCCCAAAACCCTAATACAGAAAAAAATTTGAAGGAATTTAAAATGTTTTACAGAAATTCATATTAAATTTGAATTTTTGAAAAGAGCAGAAGTCTACATTTAAACAAATTAGTTCCTAAATCTAATGTTAATTTCTAATTTCTTTGACTTAATTTATTTCTTCTTAAAAATATGATTTGTAAATCTAACAAAACAGATGATATTTACTTAAATTTTATTAAATTTTCAGGAAAGATTACTTTTGTAAAAAAATTTTTTAAATAAATTTCTTTTTTAAAAAGCTATTATTCCTGTCAATTCCCAAAAACTACAAGGGTATTATTTTTAATCTGAATTTGCCATCTTGTATTTTTAAAGATAACTCTTTTTTCAAATAGTTTTATATTAATACATTTCACCCTTTAAAGGGTTTTATCTTCGAAAAATAGAATTCCTAAAGAAACTTTTTTTCACAAGCTAATGTAAACCTCAGGTTGTTGTATCAGTATATATAAACAATCACGTTAAGGATATTGATTAGATATACAGAGAAATGTATCACTTATATTTGTTGTCATTATGGCTCTGCCATAAAAAAAGAAATGTGTTTTAATAGGATTGTAATTAAATGAAAATCTAACTTGTATTTAGAATTTACCGATTCATTACAGCAACGTCTTGAAGGTAGAAACATTAAAACAGGTTTAACTAAGAATTCTTAGCAATTTAGAATCTTAACTTAAAAATTGTGGCTACACGCTATATTGTAAAAAAAACTATCACTGCATGTTGAACCACAGCATATAAACGTATGTATTATACAAAAATGGGATATATAAGACGAAATTTTAACAAATATAATAAGTTATTACTGCATTTATATTTCCATAGACGTGTATTTAAATAAAAATGTTACATGTATTTTTACAGAGTTAACCAATTTATCAACAGCGACGTCAACAACTCAATCACATGACGTCACAACAGGTACAATTAACAATATTCAGAATCCTTACTTAAACAGTATCTCTTCGCCCAAAATAATTTATTTGTTATTTTATGTGAGTTGACACCAACCATAAAATTAATGACAAGTCAATTACATATTTAGAATTATAAAGAATGAATGAGATAAAAATATTTCTTAGTCTTACAAAACTGGGCATTTTAAAAAAAAATTTATATTTTAAGTTAGACCCCTTTAATTTTCAGAACAAAAGGATGGAAAAATACCCTCGGAAAATTTTAGGGACATAATGTCTTTTTTATTTAGAATTTTTTAACTCTTTTTTGTTTTTACGAAAAGGGACCCTTAAAGGGGATTTTTTTTGAAAAAAAATGTACTAAACGTACTAATTTCTCCAAAATTTCGTTTTATTTTCTTATGCTTTTTTCCTTAGAGTCTTCACATCCAAAAAAAAAACGTCTACTTAATTTTAGTTATCAAAAAAAACATGAGAAAGAGGAAAGTAAAACTTTGTCTGTACTTTTTTATAAAAACTGTACCATTTTTCAGAATGTTTTTTTGAGTTTTAATAAAATGAATTGAACAAGGGTTTTTTTAAAATTCCCGAAACAATAATATTTGGTTAAGTTTCAGTTTTATATTTTTTAATGATAATTTTTACATGTATTTAGTTTTTAACTTTAAAAAGTTTTTGCAATTCAAAGAAGTGATTTAAAATAACCTTTAAAGAAAACAAGAATTTTTTTACATATGATTATGTATTTCTTTAAAATTGAAATCTTCTTTTTTTAAATTTAAGGAAGATCACAAATGGGCCCGATCAAGATCAAAGTTCAAAAATTTTTACCGTAAGCAAACAAATTATCGATTTACTATTTATTTTTTCCTTTTTTTAAAAACTTAAAAAGGTTTTACTTCTGAATTTTGATTCGGGGCAATTACTAAGATGCTATTAATTTTATTAAATTTATACTAAAGTAGGAAGCTTGAAAGGGCCTGATTTCTAAAATGAATTTTGATATACAAATATGTAACATCTTTCAGTAAATAAGGGTTATTGCAATCTTTCCTGCATATTCTTGAACATTCATGAAATAAAAAGTAAACTTTATATCACAAAAATTTTAAGCTTAATTTTTACTAAATGCTTTATTTTTCCCCTTTTTTTAATATTATTTTTTGGTTTTTTTCAGAAAAATTACTTTTATTATTAAAAAAGAAATAAAGTTTTGACCGTGTAAAATTTTAAAAAATTTTTAAATTTCCCTCTGAGATAAGCCAACGTTTTTTTTTCAGGAAATGCATAACGAAAGTTGAAACTAGGGGAATTAAAACATTCGATTATATTTAATTTAAAAACAAGTGAACCCCCAAAAGCAAAAGTTTATATGGAAGCAGAAAGAAAATCTTTTATTTAACTGTATTTGAGTGGGATTGCCCCGAAAAGAACTCATTGCTTGTACTCATGCGTGATTATATGTGTGCATTTTGAATTATCAGTATGAATTTAAGTTCAAACATTTTTGTAATTTTCACAAAAACATAATGAACACAATGATTGGCTAACATTTTCACAAATAGCTAATTTGTAGCCAAAGTATTATGAAAGTCGTGTACTTATTTTTAAAATGTGAAATGTTTTAGACTTCAATTCTGCGAATACTTAGATCTAATGTGCTATAATAGCTATTTATATGGGTCACACCCGGTATGTGTTTATGTCTTAATTTCTCTCTTTCGATTAAAAATTTAAAATTTCAAGTCAAGAAAACAAAATCATATCAACGGAAAGACAGTTTGGCTGCCATTGTAGAATGTGGGAAAAAGTCCTAACTCATTAATCTTCATTGTTTACAATATAAATCTAGTTCACAAGATAAATCTATTTAAACAAAAGGGTCACTGTGCTTCATAAGGCCGTCTCGCAATTAGTTAGACAATGATTCCTTTCAGTTTTAATGATATGGTATGTTCCAAGGCAATTATTAATGGTGGGTAAAGCAGCCTGACAATCAAATTGGGCTTAGGAAGAATTTTTTTTCTTGTTTTGAAAAACAGTTTTAAAGTAAATTCATTTGACTCTCGTATTTTACATTCCAAAAATAAAGAAAGAACCCACAACATATTACTATCTTTGTACGTCATGGAAAACGTCATATGAATTAGCCCCATGAAGCGTCAAATTTGATGAACATTATGTGGAAAAATTTAAAAATGCAACAATAAAGTAAAGTGTTTTTTATTAGTAGATATTTACTTTATCTAATAGAATACTTTTCAGATGTTATTACACGATGTATGTTTAGTGATTTGTGTCTTAGAAATAAAAGAAATGTTCTGTTCTGTTCTATAGATGTCACTGCACAGGATATTTGATGTCACATCATTTAATATTGCTGTCAACATTTTAAAACTGTTAAAGATATGCACAACCACCTTGATAAATAGTTATTGTGTCATAAACATAAGAATTCAAAGGGAATTGTCCAAATAATATAGATTAAACAACTGCGACTTATCAGTGTAATCTTAGGATTAAAAACTAAGGTCACACCTTATTTCACTGTTTGTTCAAATATCATCGATGCGGTTACAGTAAAAATTTATCCAAAATTGAAATCAATTATATGTAAATAAGAATATATTTTAAAGTGTAAACATGGGATTTTTAACAAATGTTTGCATCTGTGCTGTACTTTGTGTAATAAAAGGTACGTATTCTATATTATTTTAGGTATGTATAAAAGAGCTTATGTTATTTACATGTTTAAAAAAAGATAATGAAATTCCAAGGTTTAATGTAAGCATCAACTATAAAAATTGGCTAAAAAATTGGGAAAATTTTTAAAAATTATTTGAATACAAAGGGAAATTTGTATCATTCATAAAAAGAAATTGGGAAAAAAATTATTTTAAATATTTGAAATTATTAACCCCTTTTTTTCAAAAACCTTTAAAACAAAATTTTTAAGAAAAATCATTGTATGTTTTTTATGTATGTAAAGTATGTAAAGTATGTTTTGTAGTATGCTTTTGCCTTTAAGGGGACCAAAACCCGCTTATTTTTACGAAAAGGATATAATTTCCCCCTGAATTCCAAAGATTTTAAAATTAAAAAAATTTTTCCATTTTTTTATGTCTTATCCTGGATAAATATTTTTTTTATCTGATAAACAAGACTTAAAGACCCCAAATATTTTTTTAACTTTTTTTTTTCTACAGGTGTCATTGCAGCTTTTGTATTCCCGGAGAAGACTTTTGAAACTAAAAACTTAGTAAAAGGGTTTTTTTCAAATATGAAACTAATTTTCCCTAAGAAACAAACTTGTTGTAAAATTGAAAATGAAAAAAACTAAAGTTTAAAAAAAAACTTTGACAGCTTAATGCAAGAATGAATGCGTAAGATGTATGGTTTCTGTCTGGTTATATTATAAAAAAAAACAGGATTTATTTTTCATTTTGTTTTTTACTTTTTAAAAAAAAGCCCATACGTATAAGAATTTGGATCACGGTTACCGACTGAAAATTGAGAAAACAAATTACAATATTTTTAAGTTGCACTTTATTGAATTCAACATGATGATAAATATTCAGCCATTTTCAGCTTTCATGAAATTTCAATGTGCAAAGAAAAATAGAGCTGATGAAATAATATCCTCACCGTTGCAATTTATTGTTGTTTTCTTTGTGGTTTTTTTTGTGTTTTTTTTTGGGGGGGGGGGGGTGGTGGTTTTTTAAATTGTTGCTGTTTCTTTTTTTTTTTTTTTCTTTTTTTTTTTGTTGTTGTTTGGCGTTTTTCTTGGGGATGTAGGGTTTTTTTTTTTTTTTTAGATTTTTTTTTTCAAAAATTATATAACTTAATTATTTTAATTGTAAATATTTCAATTATTTTGTCCTTTTTCTGTGAATCATAGACAGTTTCCTTGTGATGAAAACATATTTTGCTTTTTCTATGGGAAAATATGCTGCTTTGGTGCAGAATGTTTTAATTCAACCATATATGTGTTCGCTGGATTGAAGTTTCAAATTATTATCCCAACTTCAGTCACGATTATTAAATGACACAAAAATGTGACAAAATAAACCTTTTTCACCATTGTATCAGTGCATCAACAATCGTTTTAAATCATTTTTTTATTTATTATAATAATCGCATCCTGCCTAATAGTAAGTCGGTTTAAAGGGGAAATAAAATAAAGTGAATTTATCACTCCAGTCCATTGTTGAATTTAATCAAGCTGCTTGCACCTGCAGTTTTTATCAATTATTTTGTGCTGTGGGTATCTTTATGATCCTTATTTTACTTATTTATATAAAAGATAATACAAACAGTTTGAAGTGTATAACAAAGATCGCTACAGAAAGAATAACACACATGCGTAATTAAAGCAATTTTTAAATACATTTACCTATTTATCACCATATACGTGCTTGATTTCAAAGCAAGTTGATATAAATAAATCAGCACACGAACTAATTAAGTATTTCCATTGTTACATTATGAAATTTAGTCTCTCGTGGGGTTTTGAACATATTCACTCAAGGTCTAGTCTTCATTGTTATCTCTCTTTGATGAAGTTCATGTTATCTTTCCAATTCTGAACTGGCATTTGATACCTGAATTGTTTATCACAACGTACTGTTTGTTAGTTACAGTTGTAATAACCAAGCCTCTTCAACGCTATATTCATCAAATTGTACAATAATCCAAACTTAGGGGCAAGGTGTTAATCTAATGCTTGACTGCCGTAAGTT